AAATGGCCTTTGGGAACAGTAAAAAGGCAGACACAATGAAACGGAGACAAACCGTGGTCGATCAATCGCCTCTTTTTGTGAAAATGAATGGTTAGTGTCACGAGAGAAATTATTTAAATTTGAGACATGACATCCAAAAATAGCACTTCTAACCGGTTCGGCTAATTTGCCGGTTTGGAGGCAGAGGAAATTCTGATTCGACCCAAAAAGAAAACAAAGAAGGCACAGCCTTATTTTCCAGTGTTCGCACCCGCACCACCCACCAGTTTGTGGCATATTAGCCTCAGCACTTGAGGAGGCATCTACATATTTGAGATGCAGCATTTATGAAATAAAATGGACACACCCAGTGAGTAATTAGGGCATGTTGTCACTTAAGAACGGAACGTATGCACGGACAAGAATGTAAATTGAGAAACGGCTTTTGTTTTGCCCTGATAGGTTTCCTTTTTTTTTCCCACAGTTGACGAGTGTCCCTCGTCTGTAGGTTTAGGACAGATTACAAAAATAAAAACACATCAATTTACAGCTGTGCATTTTTTTTTTAAAGTCAGGTTTTGGAAATGGAACTATATGTACTAAAATGGGACTCCACCAAGCAAAATAAATCACTTTTTCCCCTTGATGCTTCCCAAGATGAGGAGCCAACAGGGATGAGACACTTTTATATTTAGCCTGTAATTCAAGTGTCCCATGAACGTGTATATTTAGCCTGCTTTTTAGATTTCTAAAGCAGACATTTTTGTGTTGATGTCTTCTTGTGTGCTCCAGGTCTGTGTGCCAGCGCTTAAAACTAGTCCTCTCTTTCTAGCTGTTTCCACGTCTCTCTTCTCTGGCCCGCTTCTCGCATAAATCCCTCTCTCCTTCCGAACCGCTTTGCTGTGGGTTGATGCCGTGCCTTCCTGACTGCAGCAAGCGGCCATTCACAGGGAAGGAGATGAGAAAAATCTGCGTGGCCAGGCCCAATTGTGGCGGGTGTTGAAACTACGGTATATGTGCGGTTGTCCGTGGCAACCCCTTGTGAGGATTTGCACAAGGCAAAAAGCAAGTGGGCTCAGGCGAACCTCGGCTTTAAACATGACCATAAATATTTGTCATTTCTACCTTCGGCACACATCAGCGCTGGATATGTTTGTGCTCGCTTGGTATCGAATGGGTCACTTGAGGGGATAGAGCTATGAAATCAATCTTGTACTCTGACCAGTGTTTTGGGTAAGCGAGCGGATTAAGTTCACCGCAACTTTGAAGAGTGAAGAGTATTTGACATACTCTCCGCACTGTACAGCAGCCGTAAATGTTCAGCTGGTGTAAGATAACACCCGCTCATACTTGTCATGTGGCTCTCCCACTTCATGTGATGTATAATTCTGTCCATTTTATTACGGGACTGCGTGTTGGCTCCTTGACTCCGTCGTGCGGTTTAGGGAGCTTTGCTGCCTGTTCCCTCTTTGGTATTCTTCACCATAGTCGTCTTCATTTGTTGTTGTGACGGTAAAGAAATGGAAGAGGGAAGAGCGGTTGGAATTTACCTGCTGGCGGTAGGGGGGAATGCAGGTTGGATCGGTGCCGTTAAACTGCGAGAGCGTTCTCAAAATTGTCAAACTGTCAAAGCGTTATGAAATCGCAAAACCATCAGGTCCTTTTTACCAGTAGTACATTCTTTTTTTCACGTTGGGAACTGTCACGGTTAATTGGTTATTAAGATAATAATACCTTTTTGTGTTCATGTAATCTCCTGGATTTATTTTGTGTCAATAGAATGGCTTCTTTCTCGTAACACCGTAGACTAAAACAATTTGTACTTATCAAGTTGTTGTTTTGCTGCAATGCACCAGTAAAACGACTTGCCAGTTTATTGATTTTTTTTTTTTTTGTGCGCGCACGCGCGTGCGTGCGTGCGTGCGTGTGTGTGTGTGTAAAATCACCCGTGTCCAAGTGACAAACAAATACACACACAGACAGTACAGTCCATACAAATAAATCATTCAGTAAGTGGCATGCTTGTATAAGCCAAGCAGCCGGTAGGGGGAAAAAAAAAAAACATACCTGGCAGCACACAAACAAATCGCTCTGTGACTATCCTGCTTATTCTTAACGCAAATGTGATTGATGCTGCCGATAGTCAGGAACACAATGCATATTATTCAAGAGTGGTAAAGTCAGCGGAAAGCCATCGCTCCGAGCCGTTTGTTGCATTGCGTGCATGAAACTGGAATGAGTACGGATCTGGTCTAATAACCTGATGAATTATTTAGAGCCCCTCTCAATACAACCGTGCATTGAGCGTAATGACCCGTCAAGGCTCAATGGAACCACACAGGGCGGATTTCACTCATTGGTCAGTGATATTGGAAAGTGAATGAGTGCGCCTGCTGGGAGTAGCCGACTTGCACGTGATTTTATTCATTATGTCGAGAGATGAACTATTTCCGTTTAGCGTGAGAGTGAATAAGATCCATGTATTGTTTGAAGCAGTGCATCCCCGTGGTGTTTTTAAAACACCTCATTTTGCATCAATCGGCATGGAGAGCGCAACTTGGCTGCAAACAGGAGGGGGCTGTTTGGTCAATCGGGAATAGATTGGGGTGAGAAAAAAAAAAGATCTACACAATGTTGGGTCTGGGGGAGTCAGTTGACCTACATCTACGAAGACACGAAGTATGGCACAGCGTCTCCCGGCAGCTTTATTCAGATCCAAGCTACATTGGCTTCAAAATAATAGTCCAGAACATCCCCATTAAATTTAAAGTATTCGTCAAAGACGTTTTCGTATAGCATTCATATTTTTTGTCGCTCTGCCGATTGTGAAAATGAAGTGAAATATTCATCTCTCGTCACGACGACTGCCACAATAGTGTCATGTATTAAAATAAACGAAACAAAACTTGCTAATAGTCCGTTGCCGGTGTTCTTGTTGAAGTAATGCCCAGACTGCCAATCCTTATATGGGTTTTAATAAACCTTGTGATTGACACTGCCATCTATCTGTGGGTTTATTGATCAAGTCTTAGAGACACACACCACTCTGTGAAAAGATGACCAAAAATCTCTGCAACGTGGCCGATTGTATTACCGCCTCTGTTGACCTTTGTTCTTAAAACTGGCGAGTGAATGGGCGGCTGGGAGAAAAACGCACACTTTTAGTGAAGTGGTTAAAATAAGAGGAGTACGCCACCTTGCCAGCTTGAACCGAACAAAACTGAATTTGTTTCACCACATTAAACCACCACGTCTGCTTTCCTCCTCCCTGTATAAGTAGAAAGTCCGATTTGTGTTTCCTCTCCATTAACTGGCCTGAGCTCATGTTTTCAGCAGACCAAACAGGCTTTTTCCATCAACAGTCTGTCACTAGTCTATTGTCATTGTGGTTCTGTTGGGTGCCTTTGCTCCTTCCCACCGACAAATATTTGCTTGTCACTGAGGCAGTGTCAAGCTGTGACTTTCTCACTCACCGCACTGTGCCATTGTTTATCATATGCTTAAGCTTGTGATGCTGTGATACACACACAAGCAACTTAGTACGCAGCCATGAGCCACGCGATGCCTGGATGAGCAAAGCGATCTTGTTGCGCTTTGATCGACATATTGTTGGCATGGGGATGTCACAAGAAGAAAGTTCCCAATATGTTCTGTTGAAAGAAATTGAGTCGATGATGAAGCAATTTGGTGGGCGAGTGGTTAGCGCATCGACCTCACAGTGCAGAGGTACCGGGTTCGATCCCAGCTCCGGCCTTCCTGTGTGAAGTTTGCATGTTCTCCCTGTGCCTGTGTGGGTTTTCTCCGGGTACACCGGTTTCCTCCCACATTCCGAAAACCTGCATGGCAGGCTGATTGAACACTAAATTGTCCATAGGCGTGAGTGTGAGCGCGGATTGTTGTTCGTCTCTGTGTGCCCTGCGATTGGCTGGCAACCGATTCAGGGTGTAGCTTGCCTACACCCTGAACACAGCTGGGCTAGGCTCCAGCACGCCCCGTGACCCTTGTGAGGATAAAGCTGTTCAGAAAATGAATGGAAGGATGGATCAAGCAATTGGTCCAAACATTTGAAATATTCGCCCCACTGCGGTTGATTTGTGACTTTGTTGGGGTTTGTGTCTAGTTGGGTTACACTCCTTTCTTTTGACCCGTCATTTCCTCCCGCCACCCGGCCCACTCTCACTCCGCAGTAGAAGCAAAGAAAACAGTAAGAAAGGCGCTTTGTGGAAAGGACAGTGCGCATTTGTTTATGAGGATGCCGGCCTTGTGGTGACATGCCTTTTTGTCCCCTTCACGAGGCTATTTACTGAAATAGATGCCCAAGCACTGAGGGCAAACAAATGGAGCGCACATTTTGGGAGTTGAACGGGAATTTTTCCTTGTGTTGCCTATTGCAAGTAGACATACAGCACACACTCGGTTCACCATACAGAGGACAAATTAGAAACTTGGGTCTCTCCTTCTATGAGGGACACTATCTGGCTTAAAAGGAGAAACGTGACGGAAAGTTGTGTCAAATTTATTGTATAAAAAAAGACCACAGATACCGTAGAGTGCAGACAAAAGTTCTTCAAGAAGAATATTTGGGAAGTTACACCTTAGCTTCCCAAACATAAGAAATCGAATAAATGGAATATTCTGGCACATTAACACCAATGTCAACATGAACAGTTTTCTTTTCACTGTGCAAACATTTGTTTCGAAGGGGAAAAAAATCATTTGATCATCAACCACTTCTTTTTTATTTTTATTTTATTTTTTTAAACAAATATTTAATGGGGCTCTTTGATAAATAATACATGGCAGGTATATAGAGATGTACTACTGGCTGCTGGTCTTAGACTCTTACGTTTATATTTTGTGAGGGCTATGACACTCACAAAGTTGCACCCTTATTCTCATAATGTTATTTTCTCAAAATTTTACTCTGCCCCATTTGTGGAAAAAATAGCACTTGGTTACAACTTGAATTTTATTTTTTCACTTTTCACATTTCCCTTCTGATCTCTCCCTCTGTTGTTCAGTAATGGAGCCCACTGTTGTGAGTACATCCTCCTTGGCCCCCGATGAGTTTGACAGGAACGTGCCTCGAATCTGCGGCGTGTGTGGCGACAAAGCCACCGGCTTTCACTTCAACGCCATGACCTGCGAGGGCTGCAAAGGATTTTTCAGGTACACAAACGCGTGCCGCCAACCGCCGGTGACGTCGCAAACATGCCGATGAGTTGATGTCAATGGAAGCACGTGGTCCGCATAGTTGGGTCCATGTGTTTAGCGTGTGCTTTGTGGAACAGCTTTACCATCCTGCTGAACAGCACAAATTGCTTCACGTACGTAGTAGTGTGCATGCACAGGTCTTGCCGATGTCATGCGACCGCCCGCGCTCACACACACACACACACACACACACACACACACACACACACACACACACACTACACTCAAACATCA